GCCGAGCCTCTTTTTTTTTTTAAGACAGGGTTTCACTTTGTCACCTAAGCTGGAAGCTGGAATACAGGGGGCACAGTCATAGCTCACTGCAGCCCCCAACTCCTGGGCTCAAGCAGTCCTCCTGCCTCAGCATTACGAGTAGCTGGGACTACAGGATTGTGCCTCATGCTTGGCTAATTTGTTTATTTTTATTTTTTATTTTTTAATTTTTTTTTATAGAGACAGAGTCTTACTTTGTCGCCCTCAGTAGAGTGCTGTGGTGTCATAGGTCACAGCAACCTTCAACTCTGGGATTCAAGCAATTCTCTTATTCTCTTGCCTTAGCCTTCCTAGTAGTTGGAACTACAGGTGCCTGCCGTAATGCCTGGCTATTTTTTTTTGTTGTTGTTTAGCAGGCCTGGGCTGGGTTTAGACTCACCAGCCCTGGAGCATGTGGCTGGCACCCTAACCACCAAGCTATTGGGTGCCCAGCCAATTTTTAAATTTTTTTTTTTTTTTGTAGAGATGAGATCTCACACTGTTGGATAGGATGGTCTTGAGCTCCTGGCCTCAAATGATCCTCCTACCTTGTCCTAAAATGCTGAGATTACAAGTGCCAGCTACCATGTACACCCTGGATGGGATTCTTCAATTTAAATGGATAGTTATAGTCATACCTTCTTTCTCCTATACTTGCAAGAAAATGAAGATGGTGAAAAATTCCCCTTGTCTGATATGAACTCCACAGGGCCTACTTAGTGGGTACCTGCCTTACTCTTGGTGTTTAGACTTGGGCTGTAGGGAAATACCTTTGTCCTTTCCTTGGTTCCAGGTTGGTTCATTCCAACTCTTTGTTGAAAGCTACAAAGATGCAGACTACTGGCTACGGCGTTTTGAAGCAGAACCTCTCCCTGAGAACACTAACCGGCAATTACTGCTGCAGTTTGAGCGGTTGGTAGTACTGGATTACATCATCCGCAACACTGGTGAGCAACTGTGGATTGTCCCATGCCCTGTGCCACACCCTGCTGAGGCCTAGGGAAGTCCAGAAGGCTCACAGGGCTTGGGACTTGGATTACCTTGTTAAGATGAGTTTTTCCCCTAAGGGTCATGCACATTTGTGGGGGGTTCCTCATAGAATACTTTCTTGAGTTAAGCTTTGTTTAGACACATCATGTGTAGTTATCAGAGGTGGTAAGATCTAGAGTAAGTACTTACATTTTCTTAGCCTTTTTCCCAGTCCCGGATTGAAGATACCTGGCTGTTCCAAAGCATTGTAAAGGATACTCTTACCTTTGATTCCTAATCATTCTTGTAGCCTTAAGACTTATTGTAGACCAATTTTATCTTTAACTTCTTGAGATGTATGCTTAGATTGTTGATACTTTTAAAGATTTTCCAGTTGGCTAGGGCACCAGACATATATACTGGGAGTGGCGGGTTTGAACCCAACCTGGGCCTGCCAAACAACTTTCATAACTACAACAAAAAAATAGCTGGCCGTTGTGGCAGGGACCTGTAGTCCCAGCTACTTGGGAGGCTGAGGCAAGAAAATCACTTAGGCCCAAGAGTTTGAGGTTGCTGTGAACTATGACGCCATGGCACTCTACTGAGGGTGACACAGTGAGACTCTGTCTCCAAAAAAAAAAAAAAAATCTCCTCAAGATTCTGCTTTCAGATCTTTTGGGTATACGCTCAGAAGTGGAATTGTTGGATCATATGTGGTAATTCTATTTTTAATTTTTTGAAACACTATACTGTTTCCTATAGCAGCTGTACCATTTTACATTCCCACCAACAATGGACAATGTTTCTAATTTCTTTACATTCTCACCAGTACCTCACATTTTCTGGGTTTTTGGTGGTAGCCATCCTAATTTATGTGAGAGAGTGTCTCCTTATAGTTTTTTTTTTTTTTTTT